CGGTAGCACGCGTGGAAGATGATGAGATACATGTGGATATAAATAAATATATATATTTATGTATTTATATATTTATATATTTATATATTTATATATATCATATCATATTAGAGAAGATGATAATATCACGTTAAATAAATCAATAGAAAAAGGGAACCAACCACTGTCAGCAGGTACCAGGCACCCGAGACGCACGGGTACCATCTCTGGTCACGTGCTCTCCCAGACGCGCTTACTTTTGCGAGTAGACATGTACAGATTACCCTGGTATGCACGAGTATTACCAGCACGGCTATGTGTCGTCTGCCTGTACAGATCGCATAGGGAAGAATGACCATACACGTCTGTACGGATCACCGCCGTAGCAACATACCGATACCCGCAACGGTTAGCGATGCTAGGGTGCCCCGTACCGAACCGAGAGGCTTCCCAAGGACCCCAGCACCGATAGACACGGGTGGTGATGGAGATGGAAACCCCCAGAAACATGGACGCTACATTCCCAACCCCGACTCTCAACTCACCGACAAGATTGAAATGTATCATTCTACTCGGAGAAGCTGTACGACGTCGTACCGGGGGGGAGAGGGGGGGGGGGGGGGGGGGGTCATGTTACGTCCTGAGTGGCGATACTACGCTGCGCATGTCTGACTCTACTCCATCAGTCCGTACCGATACTCCATATAGTACTCCGTACTCCGTATGCCCATGCTCGGTACGCTACTCGTCAAGCCATCATAGCTCGGCAGCGGTGCTCTTCCCGAGTCTGGAGGTGATACGCTATTGACAGATTGTACCGAGAGTATGTGTGCGAGCTGATCTGATCCTGGCAAGGAGAGCAGCAACCTGCTCTATACGGGACGTAGTACCGGAATCCTACCTACACAAGTTGGGAGGAGCCATGCCGCATGTACTGCTACCGACTGTCGCTACTGCGACCGGCAATATCAAATCGTACTCGGAACACGATGTGACTCGTACTCATACCGAGATAATTCCCTCGGTGACTTTCGTCCGGGCCCCTTCTGACCCATGCAAACGACTGCTGCATGCACACTCTCCCCAATGCGCAGCAACGCCACGCAGTACTGCCGAGTGCCCACGGAAGCGGTAGCCTCTACGGCGTGACCTGCTACAGTCTCCCGAGGAGGAGCTGACACCGGGGCACGCTGCAGTGCAGAGCAGAGGACGAGGGGTCTGCACGCTGCAGCCTGCAGGACGTGGAAGCTACCGCTGATATCCATACTCTCTGTACGCCGTGCACCCCAAGCAAGCAAGCAGGAGGACATGGCCGTCCCTGCCCAGCTGCTCCATTTCAGATATATATACATATATATATGCAGGGATGGCGACCGGTCAGATCATAATCATACGGGCGGTGACGGGATGCTCTCAAAGACTCGCACGGATAAACCAGAGAAGAGGCCGATGGAAGCCACAATGTCCGTGACGGACTCGCGGACCTGTCTCGTGCTCTGTATGATCTATTCATTGCAGAATAGCAGAATAGTAAGAATCAGTCATATGATGTGATGAGAGACGACCAAGATGTTTTTTTTTTTTTAAAGTGCGCCCATCGTCTCGTCCTCACGCTCATCTCGCCGGATGGGGATACGAACGAAGGAGATGGGCTTTTTTTTTTTTTTCTTTTCTTTTTTTTTCTTTTTTTTTGGAAATCCGGGATCAGAAATCCAGGATCAGAGGATGTCGACCTGTACGAGTGAAAGATCCCCTTTGGAAGACATCTCATCGACGGCTTACACACATCGAGCAAAGAAACGATGCAGGTTTTGATCAATTGCAACCCCCCAAGTCCGTCTGTCCACCTGTACGACATACAAGACCGATCCCAACTAGGGCGCAGAGACCTCTTACAAGCCATAGCCCCCACGGCTGCCGAGAAAGGAGGAGAGGAAAAAGAAAGGAAGGGGAAGCGAAACGAATCCTTTCCCGGGGGACCCTCTGTGGGGATGCAGATGCACAGCGATACATGGAACAGTCAACATGGGGGGCCCACGGGCACGCCGCACCAGGGGCCAAGAGCCTTGGAGCTGCATACTGCATATTAATACCTCTCCACCAACCCCTTCTGTTAGGGCCGTTCGGACCTTGGACCTATCCAGTTATAGCCCAGGCCGAGAGAGTTGGCCATTGGAAGAGTGCCTGAACTATTAATACAGCCGGTATTCGCTCTCGTATCTCTCTGTATTTCTTGTTTTTATTCCTCTTTCCTTCTCCCTCCACCGTCGCATCCCCTCGTTTGGGGGAGGGGCGCTTAGGTTTCGGATAGCGGGAAGGGGATCGGAAAAGAAGAGAAGGGAAAAGAAGAAGGAGAGTCGACCGATTTTCCTCTAAGACGTGATTAGTAATGATAATGATGATAATGATGATAATAACGTCTCTATTCCCATGTTCCAGACCTCTTTTACACACACACCTTCTGTCTTTGATAAAAGAAGACAAGCCACACACACATCTTCTTCCTTGATTCTCTCTGAAGGAACAAGTCTCAACTACTGTCGATACCACCATTGCCCGTACAGAGCAATACACTGGAACAGTGTCGTGACAGCATGCACAGGAGTAGTGCACCACCACCGCCCGTCTTCGTATTCCGGGAATACCAGATAACCCTGCATAGGCTACTGTCTCGGATATCAGAGAGGGGAAACCTTCGGGGGGAAAATAACACCCCCCATGTAAAAAAAGAATTTTCTAAGAAGAGAAGAAAATAATAATAATGTAAAAAGTATTATTTCCTTTGATTTTTTTTTGGAGGTGTTTTCTCTGCTTCTTTGAATAAGACGTCGTAGAGACCGAGGACAGATACGATGTAGAAGAGACCACGGATATGGCCAAGTCAAGCTTGCAGGCTTACAAGACCTTGGTCCCCAACTTGCCCGTCGTCAGGAACCCTCTGTTCCCCATCTCGCCCCTCCACCCGATTCCCAGCACCCCAAAGATGAATCTACCATCCGGGCCTGGTCTGATCTGATCTCCGTCCTCGCCCTCCTCGGCAGCAGCGGCAGCCGCCGCCGCCGCCGCCTTGCTCTCCTGCACTACAAAGCATACCTGCTCTACCTCTCCGGGGTGCAGCACAGGTTTCCTCTGCCGCTCCTGGCCCTGCGTCTGCTCGCCGTCGCCGTCCCAGTTGCAGCCTCTGCATCTCAGCAGGCCGCCATCGACGACATCCATGGCCACCTTGTCCAGCTGCATCGTGTCGTCGCTGCAGTTCTCCAGCTGCGCCTCCAGAGCCCACCTGCGTCGTCTCGCCTTCCTTTCCTTTGTAGACCTTCCGCCACCGACAGGACCCTCCGTATCTCTGCGGCCGGCAGCGGTGGCGGTGGTGGTGAGATCCCCCCCCAGAGCGGTGACCTTTGTCCGCACGATGAGCGAGGGCTTGCATATGAACTGGTACAGCTTGCGGAAAGTCCTGGTTCGGCCGCTCGTCTCCGAGACCTCGTAGTAGCTCACCGTCACGGCGAGCACGTGGTTCCCCTCCTCCTTGAGGTCGAACGACACCACGCCCTGCAGCGTCTCCCCCGCCGCCAGGTCCTTCTTCTTGGTCGGCACCGTCGACGGATCTGCCTTTGCCTTCGCCTTGTCGTCGTCGTCGTCGTCGTCGTCGTCGTCGCCGCCGACGTCCGGCCCGATGAGGTCCAGCCTGTGCGCCCTCCCCACGCCGGGCGTCTTCATCTCCGCCTCGACGTGGACGTCGCGGATCGTGCGGCCGGTGCTGTCGTCCACCGCCACGTCATTGTTCGCGCAGAGGGTGCAGCTGAATGTCTCGCCCACGTATGCTGACCCGAACGATACCGGGAGGTTGAGAGCCGGCGTGAGGAGAAACGGCGCCGGGTTCGTCGACGAGTCCGAGGAGAAGGCTAGGGAGGCCGGCGACGGCGTCGTGGAGGCCGGCGACAGCGACAGGGGCAGCTGGAGCGGTTGCTGCGTCACCAGCGATGGTCGCGATAGTCTAACCGTGGTCTCGTCAGCTGCTGCCGCGTCGAGCAGGAGGGGGGGGCCAGGGACAAACCGACCGGAGGACTTTGAGGGAGACAGAGTGCGGCTCCTTGGCCGAGTCGTGTGAGTACCTTTTGTGACTCATGACTACCGTCGCACGTCCCGTGTGTGTTATTTCTCCGGTGTTCCCACCTCTCTCTACTGCAGCTGCTTGGGAGTTGGCACGTCGTCGTCAAAAGGCGGGCGCGATGCAACACAGTGACGAAGCTCAGTCCACCTTTTTTGCTCTTTCTTTATCGATAAGCCTATACATCTCCCGTTGTGGAAACCCCGGGGGAACAGCAACAGCATCATTGTATTGTCATACAGACAGGGCATGGATTCGCGTCGATGATTACACTATTACATTGGCTTTCTTTTGATTTTATCGGAGCTGTTCGATAAACACAAACTACTATTTTTCTTCGTTCTCTTCCCTTCCTCTGAGTCAGACGATTTAGATGTACTCTCAACACATCGTTTCTAGGAGCCCTGGTACCGTTTCTCTTTTTCTTGCCCCACTCGTATCTTGTTCTGTTAGCACCGAAGATGATCACTTCCTTGTAGCTAGTGCAGACCCTAAAGTCCAGGAGGCGGGGGGACCTAAGATTCAGATACACGTCAGCAGGTCATGGGATAAAACTCCGATCACGCGTCGATGCGTACATTGTTGTAGCCACCGGCTCCGGGTGGCGGACCCGAGGGAGGGGGAGGGGGAGGCGCAGAGCTCGGCGGCGGTGGCGGCGGAGGGGCAGCCTCGCTTGGAGGCGGCGGGGGAGGCGAGGCAGACTGTCCAGGAGCGGCGGCTCCCTGGCCCGGTGCACCCTGCTGAGCCTGAGAACCGTAGTACTGCTGGTACAGAGCGACGTAGCTGTCAGGATTGTTAGCCGGATGAGCCGAGGGTTGACCAGGGGGTGGGTGTAACCAGGGTGTCGACTTACTTTGCGTAGCCTCCCCAGGGGGCGTACGGGTCCTGCCCACCATAGTACTGAGCATACTGAGCCGAGTAGTCGGTAGCATTGGCGGTGGTGGTGGCGGCGGCGGCGGCGGCGTGGGTAGGGCTGGCGGCAGCAGCAGCAGGAGCCGGAGGAGCGGGGCTGTTGCTGGAGGCAACGCCCTCGGAGCCGTAGCGTCCGTAGCTGTTGGTGTCGTTGTAGGAGCCGCCACCACCGTGGGAAGAGCTCCGGCCGCCGTGATGGTCGTTGTAGCCACCTCGGTCGCCGTAGCCACCACCGCGGTGACCTCCGTACCCGCCACGGTGGTCTCCGTAACCTCCGCGGTCTCCTCCGTACCCGCCACGATCACCGCCGTATCCGCCACGGTCACCACCGTATCCGCCACGGTCACCACCGTACCCGCCTCGATCACCACCGTACCCGCCACGGTCGCCGCCGTACCTGCGCTCGCCGCCGTAGCCGCCGCGGTCGCCGTAGTGCGGGCGGGGCGGGCGGGCCTTGAACTCTTCGTACTGCTCCTTGACGTTGGCGACAAGGTCCTCACACAGCTCCTTTGCCTTGTCAATCATACGCTCATCAGGGCCGCTAGAGTCAAGAGGTCAGTAATCGCACGAGGAAGGGGTGATGGAGGGGTTTTGGACCGAGGCCTTACGTGACGCTGAGGTGCATGTCGTCGTCGCTCTCCTTGTTGGTTGCTACTTCCAGGTATCCGGAGCCGCGGCCCTTGATCTGCACACGGCAGCCCGTCTCCTGCTGAATGTGCTTCACGTAGGCGCCACCATGACCGACAATCTGGGCGCGCAGGTTGAAACCCGGGATGGGCTCCAGGTCGACCTGCACCTTTTCGACTCGCCACTTGCGCTGCAGGGGACAGGGTCAGTACACGCTCTCCAACAGGATCGGAGCGGGGCAGGGGAGGGTGCTGAATACTCTTCCGAACTCATCCCGCTCAACAGGCTCGGGTTGATCGCGACGACGCAAACGACGGTCATCGACAAGCTGAGGAAGCTCCTGCTTGATGAGCTCCTGGATCTTGGCAACTGCCTGTTCTAGGCCGTCCTTGTTCTGGCTCGTGACGTGAAGGTAGAGAGGCGGGTTCTGTTCATGTTTCGGTCAGCACCACGTTTCTTCCCCGCCAAGCGACGGAGCGGAAGGGACACTCACAGCAGCGGTAGCCATGCTCTTGTTAGGGTAGAAGCTACCCCGAGTGGTGACATCTTGAGAGAGGAAAAGAAGAAAAAGAAGAAGAAAAAGTCAACATCGTATCCTGCACAACAGCGGTTAAGTGTCTTGGGAGAGGGCGAATTGCGTACCAGCGCCGGTCTCATCTTTGATCTAGATATTCACGAGGGGAGTCAGCAGGAGCAGAGAAGGGGGACCTTGCATGCGAGAGAGCTATCGATGCATTGTAAGCATGATGTCCTCGCCATGAACGGGTGGTAGTTTTGCTTCTTTTTCTTCTTCTTCCATGTGTCGCTGGCATAATCAGTGTTGCCAACAGCAGCCAAGAGACTTGTGTGTGCGAGTGTATGTGCGTGAGAGTTGTATAATATTTACCATTTTCTGCGTAGACCCCTTGGTCAGGAGGTATCGGTTGCGCAGGTCGTTGACCTCGATGTCCTGGATGTAGTCTCCGTCGGCCACGTACATCTCCCCGTTGAGGTTGGGGGCCGGCGTGGCCGACTTGTTGCTGGCGCCGGACGGAGTCGAGTCTTTCACGGTAGGAGGGCTCGTCGTCGAGGAGGACCTGATGGGCGGCACGTCGACGTGCTGGATTCCCTTGCGGGCCTGGAGCTGGGCATTGATTCTGGCGGCGGCGGCGGCTGCTTTTTTTTTTTTTGTTGCATCACCGGGAGTCAGTCACGGACGATGTGGAAATCGCTGAGGGGGGAGGAAGGGTGGGCGCGCGCGTTCGTACCAGCAGCAGCAGCAGCATCGACAGCCGGCTTCTTAGGCTCAGCACTGTCATCCTTGGGAATCGGGCTTCGGTCGCGCGTCTCCGATCGTCGGCTTGGGGGGGAGCGAGAGCGTCGATCGAAGCGAGACTTCTTGGGTTCCGGCTCCGTCTGGTCGAAGCGCGAGCGCTTGGTTCGCCGCTCCGAATCATCCATGATGCCGGTTGTGGGGGGCGAGAGCAAGAGGGGGGAGGGAGGAACCTCTGAGGCGGTTGGTATATCTGGGGAAGATATGTGCGGGTTAATCGAGGAAGGATTTGATCTGATGACAGGGGTTATCCTCTTCCTTTTTTTTTTTTTTGCCGTCAGTCGGATTGCTCGTGTGGTTACCAGGATGAGGGAATGTTGGTGGTAATACTTGTAGTGTACGGAGTACGTAGTCTCGGGTAAAAAAAATTAAAAAAAAAAAAAAAAAAAGAGAGAATCTAGAAGAAAAAAACGAAGGATAATAATAAACATTAAAAAATAAAAGTAAAAAATAAACACGAGAAGAAGAAAAAAAAGGCGGAGAGCAGTTGGCAGTCGGCAGAATAACGGGTCTTAGTGGATGGGGTCTGCGCTCTGTAGTCTCTGTTATACACTGCCAGCGCTAGTCTCTCAATAAGAGCCATCACCAGCCTTTGTTTTCTCGTTGTTTAGGGGAATCAGACAATGATACAGATGTGATGTCTTCTTGCTTGATGCGACGGTGTGTCTGTTATTTCAATTGACGTGAATTGGGTGCGGTATTCATGTAACTGTATACTCCATGTATTATTACAACCTTCGTATACCTCCTCCCTAAAATATTACTATATATAGCATGATGGAATCAGCAGCACATTCACTACAACTACGCTGCACACATTAATCTGTACATTGAACAATATGTATGCACATTTCCGCATGGAATGCCCAACAAACTCTTTCTTTCCAAATCTTGATATCTTACAGGCTCTCTACGGGCTGTAATGGAAGACAAAGAGCGAACCCCAATTGTATAGACCGACGAAAAAAAAGAGGATATTTTCCGCTATAGGGTAACTCACAATACATGGTGTCTGTGTGTGTACGGAGTAATATGACTATTACTACTACTCCGTACGGTGTATAACAAGCCACGGCCCACTCACTATTAGTCACATTGCGTATTCCGTACAGTAAGCAATGATGATCGTGCTGAGCCCCTCCGATCACGCCCTCGCCCAACTTGAACTCTGAAACAACATTCGCACTCATCTCGGGTACGGGTGCTGCATCCTCTCGCAGCGAGTCTGTCTTGGGAAAAAGGCTTGCTGCCGTCTTCTCTCATCTCGTCCGAACAGGAAGGGAAACGACCAATCATTTGAAATATACAACACCGTCATCTCACCCGACGCACGCGACAAACATCCGGAACGAACGACATCGCCCATCGTCGTCATGGCCGCCGAACCCTCAGAGAGGTCGTCACTCCTCCCGGTCGGGGGGGACCGCGAGGATGACCAGGACCAGCCCTCATCGTCCGAGACCGCTCCCCTCCTTGCTCCCCAGGGTGACGGGGACGAGGCCGCCCTGCAGGAGTCCTCGGTGTCGTCATCTCCGTCACAGGCTGGTCGTTCTTCGGGCTCCGGCTGGCGATGGCCGAGCCTCATAGCCGGCGTCGTCATGGTCGCCCTGGTCATCGCCGTCCTGCTGTGCGGCTTCCTCCTTCCCGGCGCCGTCAAGGTGTATGCCGAGAACGCGGCCGTCCTCGAGCCCCGCAGCCTGTCGGTCGAGTCCATCACCAACGACGGTGTCAGGGCACGCATCCGGGCCGAATTCCACCTCGACGGCTCCCGCGTCTCCGACCCACACGCCCGCCGCATCGGCCGCTTCACCACGGGCATCATGCGGTACCTCAGCACCGAGGAGACGCGGGTCAGCGTCTACGCCCCCGGCTACGACGACTCCCTCCTGGGATCCGTCGCCGTCCCGCCCCTCACCGTCTCCATCGTCGACGGCCACAGCACGCTCCTCGACATCGTCGCCGACCTCGTTCCCGGGGACGTCGACAATATTCGCAGGATCGCCAACAGCTGGCTCGACGGAAAGTTGGATAACCTCAAGCTCACGGGGTCGACTTCTATCACGCTCAAGTCGGGCTTCATCCCCCTCGGTTCGCATGATGTGGTGGAATCCATGGTCTTCGAAGGTAGAACACTCTATCGTTCCTTTGCAGCTTTATTTTTTGGAGAGAAATCAATATTGCAGTGATGCCTTTTCTTCTTCTTGTTTTCCTCCTTCTCCCCCCCCTCCCGTCCCTCCTCGTCGTGCTCCCTTCTCTCCCCTCTGACCCAACCATCTTCTAATCATGCCCTCTCAGCAAGCAAAATCCCATCTCTCCCTGAACACAAGATCGAGCGCCTCAGCTTCCATGAAGTGCCTCTGGGCCGTGGTGGACAGCAGGCCATCGGGGCCAACGTCACGCTCTCCGCTCACAATGACTACCCGGTTGGCCTTGACGTGCCCCCGCTCAGCTTCGAAATCTTGTTGGCCAACTGTGACGACTCAGACTCGTACATTGCCGTCGCAGAGGCTATCACTGACCCCGTCGAGGTGCAGCCAGAAGCCGACGTTTACGCGGCTGCCCTGGGAATCATCAGGAAGATCCCAGAGCCCCTGACGCGGTCGTGCCCCGACAGCAACACATCGCCTCTCGACCACTTCATGCACCGCTACCTGCACGGAGAGGACGCCCAGATCTGGGTTCGCGGTGCCCGGTCCAACGGCTCGGACACACCCGAGTGGATCGTCTCGATACTCGAAGACATGATGGTCCCCGTGGGCTTCCCCGGAAAGTCATTTGGCGACGTCATCAGGAACTTTACGGCAGAGGACGTCGACTTTCAGATGCCGAGCCCCTTTGCCGACCCGGGCGACCCGGACGGCGTGCCGCGCGTATCGGGTACCATCATGGTCGTCGCCGCTCTGCCCGAGGAGTTCGACCTGGAGATGGGTGTCGGCAATATCCGCTGCGATGCAGACCTCTACTACGAGGGCGACAAGCTGGGCGAGCTCAACATGAGCAAGTGGGTGGGGGCCAACTCGACGCGCATCGTCGGCGACGACGACAGCGGCGAGACGCTGATCATGATCTCGTCCCACGTCGACAAGGTGCCCCTCAGCATCACGGACAACTCGGTCTTTGCCGAGGTCCTCCAGGAGATGCTTTTTGGCGACGAGGACGTGCTGCTTCAGGTCCAGGCCAGCGTCGACGTCAAGGTCGGCACCGTGCTCGGAAACCTCCCGCTCAAGGGCGTTCCGGCCAACGGCACGATCCCGGTAAAACGTTCGTCCTTCCTCTGGTAGCCTGTCTGATCACATACACTCGGGAGGCTCTTGATGTACTATTCCTCTCCCTTCCCCCACCGTCACACCCACCGGGATTACAAGAAGGGGAGGCTGTCGACTGACGTGATGCACGACCAGATCTGCCAAAAAGCATGTACAACGCTCTAGAACCGCAGGTCGACGAGCTCCGCATCCTCAACACGTCCGACACGGGTACCTGGATGCAGGCCCGCGTCAACTTTACCAACCCGTTCCCCTACACGGCCTCCATCCCGCGATTGAATGTGCACCTCCTCGGGCAGGACACGGTACTCGGCTCGGCCACGGCGACGGATATCAACCTCCGGCTCGGCAACAACACAGGCCACTACATCGAGGCAATATGGGACCCTATCCTTCTGGGCAACGACCCTGACTCCGACTCCGAACCTGCCCGCGACAGAGCCCGCCGCTGGCTATCCGACTACGTCTCGGGCAAGAACACGACTCTCGAAGTCCGGACCCACGCCGGCACCTTTCCCACCATGCCCCTCCTCGGCCAGGCCCTGTCCGGACTCAACCTCACCGTACCCACACCACATCTGGGACTGCCCGGCGGTGACCACGGTGGCGGCGGCGGCACGCCCCCGACGGGTGACGGCCACTTTGTCCGCGACGCGACCTTCCACCTGCTATCCTCGACGGCCACATTCACGCTCGCCTCCCCCCTACACGGCACGACGGTCTACCTCGACCGCATCGACGCACGGGCCTTTTACAACAGCACCGAGCCCGTAGGCCGGATCCTCACCACCAACCCCTTCTCCGTGCCGCCGGGACTGTCAACCTCGCCCAAGCTGCCCGTCTACCTGTCCCCGGGTGGGATAGGCTACGACAAGCTGAGGGGTGCCCTTGGGGGTAAGCTGGATCTGGACTGTGTGGCCAACGTGTCGATCCGTATCGGTCAGTGGACCGAGTGGGTTGAGTATACTGGTAGTGGAGTTGGTGCCAAAGTCAGATTGTAGTTCTCTCTCTCTCTCTCTCTCTCTGTTTTCCTCCAGGAGTGGGAAAGTCTCTTTTCTAATGATGCGTGGCGCTGGAAGGAGTTTTTATTATTATGTAAAGAATTTTTTTTTTTAAATCTAGGGATTCTTCTCTTACCTTCTTATTTATTTCTAATTTCTCTTCTTCCAACTCCTCTTTACTCGCTCTTTTTTTTTTTTCATACTATATTGTTTTTATCATGACTTATTTTCCCTCTCTCTCTCTCTCTCTCTCTCTCTCTCTCTCTCTCTCTCTCTCTCTTTCTTTCTTTCTCTATCTTTACACTTGTGTCTGATGAAGAGCGTTCGTTACCGGTGCCTGTATTGAATGACATCCCCCCCCCCCCCCCCCCCCCCCCCCTCACTCTTTTCCTTCTCTTATTTTCCCTCTTACTCTACACTTGATTCTACAAGAATGCGAATTGCCACAATATTACAGACGACGAATACACAAGACTACATACATTTACGAACCCAACTACGTGCACGCAACCTGTGGGCCAAAATCTATATAAACTAGCTCATTATATTCGTTGTTAGCCCAAGGTAAAAAAATTATAAGGGAGTAATATATATATATAGGAAAAAAGAGAGGGTGATGCACCTTTGCCGGAAAAAAAAATATGAACCGCTTTCCCCCCCCCCCTTAACCAAGTCGTACACCTGCCTCCCTTCGTTTCTTTAGCTGCTGAGCTGTGGCGGTGCTCATCCCCCCATTCTGGGTGGCGTCAAACATGCTCTGGGCCTGGCGCCTCTTCTCGTCGTCAATCTGCTTGAGGAGCTTCTCCGTCTTGCCCTTACCCGACCCCTTTCCATGGAACTGGTGGCTGAGGTGCTTGAAGGCTTCCTTCTGGTTGAGCTGGCGGCCGTGGTCGTCCGTGTAGGCCAGGCGCACGCTGGGCTTGTAGCCGGCCGAGTAGAGCTCCGCCATGCGCCGGGACTGCTGCTGGTCGCGCCAGGCGTTCTGCTGGCGCGCGTACTCCTCGCGCTCGCGGGCCGACATCTTGTCAAGCTTGCCGCTGCGGCGGTCGCGCTCGCGCTGCTGCCGCGTCTGCTCCTCTAGTTCCTCCTCCAGGAGGCGCTTCTTCGCCATGAAGTCCTCCCGGTTGCGTAGGTTGGTGTACTCCTCTTCGCCGCGCGACGGCTCGACCAGCCCGCGCTCCCGGAGCAGCGAGAGCGCTGCGCCCATGCCCTGCCCCACCGTCTTCTCCTCATCCACCGGTGCGTCCCTTTCGGCTGCCTGCTCGTCCGACGGTTCTGGGTTTCCTTGGTCGCGGTCCGAGTCGGCGTCGTCCATGACCTGGTCGCCGTCGGCTGGTGTCTCGCGCGGGTCCGGCGTCTTGGTTGTTGCTTTGCGCCGCTTCCGTGCCAGCGCCTCCTCCTCCTCGTCGTCGTCGGGCACCTTGAGTCCAGAGACGAACTCTGATGCTGCACCGATCACGAGGCCTCCGTCCTCCTGCTGTTCTTCTTCCCTCAGCGTCGCCGAATCCTGCTCCTTGAGTCGTCTGACAAGGTCTTCCGGCCTCGTGCGCTTGCGCTTCTTGAGCGCGTTCCGGCGCTGGACGGCGAGCGACGCTTGCAGGTCTTCGTCATCTACCAGGTCATCCTCGACTGTCCTCTTCTTCTTGGCCGGTGCACCGCCATCCATATCCATGGCATCGCTGACCGACTGCTGCGAGGGTTCTGTCGGGACGATGATGTCGTCGTCGTCGGCCCGCTTCTGCCTCGTACCTTTCTTGCTCTTCTTCTTGGACTTCTTGATCTTGATCTCCGATGGGGCAAGGTAGTCTCCGGACACGGGGCCGTCGCCGACAATGTCGTCGAGGCTGACGTTCTCGCCCCTTTCAGCCTTGTCCACGGGTTGGCCGAGGATGTCCGCAAGATCGTTGAAGGTGCCCTTGTCGTCCAGGGTGAACTGCTTGGTCTTCTTTCCGTTGATCTCCTCGTCGTACTGCGCCAGGATGCCGCCCTCCATGTCGTCGTCGTTGGGGTTGTACCCGGGTCGCTTCTTCTTCAGGTCCAGCTTGTCCTGCAGCTTCTCCTGGGACCGCAGCTCGATATTTTCGAGCTCGTCATCCTCCTCGTCATCTGCGCCGCCGATGCCGCTGTCCTTGAGCGTCAGGATCTGCTCGTCCCCGTCGAGAAAGGCCGATGTGTCGTGGGCCACCTTGATGCCGGCCAGGTCCTTGGACGTGTACTGGACGTTGGCGGCGGCCTCAGCCTCCGCGGCGGCAAGCTCCTCCTCGAGCTTGCGCACCTTCTCAATCTTCTTCTGGCGCTTCTTCTGGCCCATGAGCCATGACTTGGCGTCGGCATCTGCCTCGGCCTTGTCAAGGTCGCCCAGACCGTGGCCCTCGAGTTTGGCAGCCCTCTGCGCCTTCTCGCGGGCCTTTTTGATGGCTGCGACCCGCTCCTCACGCTTCTTCCTGGCGGCCTCGGCCTCCATGGCCTTATTGTAGTTGTCGTAGGCCTGGGCCTGCCTGGTCTCGACGGTGCTGGGCGCCTCCGCCTCCTCTCGCTCGTTGTCGGAGCCTGCCGAGCTGGGGGGGGGCGCCGCACCGGGTACCGGCAGGGGCTGCATGCCCAACGACACGCGGATGCGGTTCGTCTCCTCGATGGTGGCGGCGTCCATGGTGGGGAGATGGGATTGTATCCTGTCGGTTGACGCAAAAGCGCGTCGTAAGTTGAGAGGTGCTGCACCTGTACAGGGCGCATCTGTGACGGAAGTGAAGTCGAACAGGTTTACCCGATATTCTACCGAAACGACAGTAGCACGTGACTCTGACCCACTTGTAAGGTTGAGCAGCAGGGGTTCTTTTCCTTTATTAGGAGCCAAAAATTTTCTACACTCCCTCTTCTTCTTTCCCTTCTTCTTCATGGATCTGTGCCCAGCGGCCCTCTGCTCTTCTACGAAGATGTTTCAAGGTGCTGCTGCGCATGCTCGATAACTCATGGAGGCATCAACCTGATATGATGCAGATTTCCTATCGACAGGTCCTAGAAAAATCGGTCTTTTGGTTCTCCGGTGTGCCGTTGACAGATTCATTCTGTCGCTGAGCCTCCACGAGACCAGATGCTCCGGGGCGCTATATTTCAGATCTCTTTTCCAAGGCCGTCGGTCTGTGAGGTTGGGAAAAACCATGGCTACCCACATTCTTCCTTCTCCAGTAGCAGTCTCATGTTTATGCTGCTCCTCTGCCGCTCATACCTTGGGAGATGTCGCTCCCCCACCACTATTTGAGAGATGGGAGACGGAAGAGAATGCAGACGCCGTCTTGCTGCTCTTTCCTTCTCTAAAGTTATCCGACCGTCTGGTGATGTAGACCTATCATTGACTTCCTGCTCCTCTGCCTCTTCGTGCCTTTTTTCTTTTTCCCCTCGGATAGAACCGATAGAGCCTTCCAACCTTCGGGGTCCATCATCTCTGAATTCCGAAGAAAATTCAAAGGGCGGGACCTTGCCGTATGGATTTGTGCCTGCCTACCGGATAACTGTCGAGTCGTTTGATGTCATGACAATGATTATCCGATTGGTGATCACATCGCCGGGGGGGAGCTCATTGTCGCGTTTCTGCGAGGCTTGCCTCCGTATGGGAGAGGACTGGTGAGTATCCATCTGCACGCCATTATTATTACCACGTTCCACCTGCAGGGTGTCGTCGGACCGAAGACATGCTGAAGACGGCGACATCTTCTGTTTATTGGAGAGACACGAGATGGGGAAGACGGCGAGAGACCAGCGGCAGTCTCGGATACAGCCGTGGGATGGGGATGTTCACGTGTATGTTCCTTTTGTAGAGAGAGGCAGGACCTGAAGGCTATGCGCGAGTCTACTCGTATCGTACGAGCAAGACGGTGTGATTCTTCGGTTTGTTACTCCCAACGATCCATTGAGGAGATGGGTCATTGGTACCTGGGGGAACTGGGGAGAAGTAGTAATATAATAATAATAATAATAATACTAGCCACGAACGGGGATGGAACTGCTGCAGCACTAGGGGGCCACGATCCATGCTCCATGCTTGGGACCGCCCAGCCATGCATATCATAAACTGGGGGCGACCCTCTCGATCTCTAGCGGCGCTTTCCCCCATGGGCCCATGGGTCGACGAGTCCAAGTGCCGGTCCGACGAGAGAGTCCACCTCCTCCTCCTCCGAGGTCATCATGGTCACGATAATACCGGTCACATCCTGTACCCCCCCCCCCCC